CATCAGCCCCTTTTAGGCACGGGAAGGCTGCGCTAAGGTCTCCCCAGAGCCTTCTCTTCTCCAGGCTGAACAACCCCAACTCTCCCAGCCTGTCCGCACAGCAGAGGTGCTCCAGCCCTCGGATCATCTCTGTGCCCTCCTCTGGACTCACTCCAACAGGTCCATGTCCTTCTGGTGCTGGGATCCCAGAGCTGGATGCAGTGCTCTGGGGGGGTCTCCCCAGAGCGGAGCAGAGGGGCAGAATCCCCTCCCTCGACCTGCTGTCCACGCTGCTTTGGATGCAGCCCAGGGCACGGTTGAATTTCTGGGCTGCCAGCGCACATGGCCGGCTCACGTCCAGCTTTTCATCCCCAAGTCCTTCTCTACAGGGCTGCTCTCAATCAAATCTCAGCATCACAGAACACCCCAGGCTTGTATTTCTGTAGCCAGCGCCAGGACACTGCTCCTCAAAGAAGATGCTGATGTCTTATGTTCATTCAGCTCTCCATGCCCCTCTTTCACGCTCCTCTAGGGAGGATGAGGAAAGAGCCTGGCATCTTTGATACAAAATGCAGAGAATTTAGCTCTCATGCCATGGTCTACCCTCATCCCGCCTGGCATTGCATACTGCCTTTGGGAATAACTGCTGATGAAGGCAATGCCACGGCTTCATCAACTCCAGAGTTCCCCTCCAGAGGTGGTCTGAACCCCAGGAATCCCTCTTTCTTCCTTTCACTGAGAAGTCCGGCTCACAAGGCTTCCTTCTGAGCGGGAGATATGTGCAGCAGGAGTTGTGACAGCCTTACAACGCAGGGAAAGGAACAACTGGAAGAGGAACTCAATATGAAGACCTTTGGATGTGGCTGGCAGGAGAAACCCTCCAAGTAACCCTTTCTCTCAGCGCTCGGTTCCATCTGGCAGGGTAGCATAGAAGGTATGAAGGCAGACGGACTACTTCCAGGATTCCCGCGTACTATACTCACTTTCGGAGGGGATTAACAATCTCATCCCGCAGAATGCTCTGGACATTCCTGTCACACAGCGGGAAAGGCTTGAAGAGCATGGAGTCCAGCACAGACGTACAGGAGAAGAGGCTGTGAAAAGAATGGGATGGGTGTAAACCTGATGGGTTTGCAGCAATAGTTAGAACCAAACCGTTGTGCCTGGTGACATTCGGTGGCTTTTCTTTTCAACAGTCCATGCATGCAGTTACAGAAAGGTGAGTGAGAGCGCATCTCCACAGCGAGATAAACCACATCTGGTTTAATGAACACTGGTAGTAAGCAAGGAAACAGCTCAGAGAGAATGAAATCTCGTACTTTGCAGCCAAAACTGCTCATGGGGGAGGCACCACTGAGTCTTTTCCTCTCCAAACAATGCTGCACAGTGAAGCTGGGACCTCCTGGGCGGTTTCTTTGAAATGTTTCCAGCCAGTAACTCCAGTGACAGAGTGAGCACGGTCCAAGTCCAGAGAACTACAATCTCTCACCACCCTGCATGACAGACACACGGGTACCTTAGGTACTCACAGGGGGTACTTCAGGGCCTGAAAACCTACCAGGTTAGGAAGGAGATCAAAAAGCAGCAAGCATCGAGGCTGCGTCTCCGCATGGTTACATTCTGCTCTATACCGGGCAAATTTCCAGCCACCTTGGAAGTCCAGGGAAGTGCTGCGGTTTAGGGGTCTGCCCAATTAAAAAAGCACTCTTTTAATGAAACGGCACCACCCAAGCTGGTCCTTACCTGAAGAGAGCTGCATCCATATAGCAGGAATTACAATGGCCTTGGATCCCCTTCATCCGCCCCTGTAGGACATGCACTGCCGCCTCGTTTCTGAGGGGAGGAAAACTGTCTGGAGCCTGTGGAAGAACTTCTTGCCCTCCTGCAAAAGAAGCAACAGAAGCAACCCCCTTTAGCTTCCCACCTCGTCTGGGTCAGCTCTGCCCTTCCCCGATGCCCCAGAGATCTGCTCCACTCAGAAGTCAGCATCATACTCCTCTGCGCTGCTCCTGCCGGGACTCAACCGTGCTGGGATGAAGACTCGTCTCTTTAGTAATTTATCTACTGGAAATGGAGACAAAAACCAAACCATCTCTTCTTCACCAGAGACATGCCCCAGCAAGCCATACAGCCTCTGCCATCGTTATGCCAAGTATAACGAAGACAAAAAGAGCTACAAACGAGCTGGTGCTGTGTTATATGCAAGCTTGGGATCTCTCTGTTGAAAGATCTGTGACCCCAGCAGCAAGGGGACAAACAGGCAACTGTGCTGTGACAGCCTCATCCCGCTGGCCTGTTGTCTCCGTAAGCTCCAAAGGTGGCTTTCTCAATCTGGTCTTTCCTGGGTTCTTCAGCGTTCTCCCCTTATAATTCAATCCCCTCTCTTCAGCATGTCCTTAAAACATTCTTCCTTGTCCCTGCTCCCAGTTTTTGGGCAGTCCCTACATGAATCCTGTCTTCTCGTTTACAGTGATCTCATTTACAGTTTCTAAATGGCTAATTCATGCCGTCTCCTCTGCTCTAGTAGAATTTCTTCCTGTTCAAATGAAAACACTGATCTGTTCTTCCCTGCATCTTCTTGTGAATGTCTTATCATCACATTAAACTCTATATTAAAATTGATTTAATCCTCTCTCCTTTTCCAAGCTCCCTCTTACTCGTCAGGCCCCAGGTACAACACCGGTATCACCCGACATCTTGGCCATGGGCCTGAGTTACCCACTCCAGCTCTCCAGAGTCACGCACGTGATCTACATTTAACAGACAGCAGCTAGGCCAGGCCCTATAGCTACAACACTTGTCCATATTCAGGTCTCAATTACACAAGACCTTTTCTTCCGCCCTGAAAACCACAGGCAGAAGAGCCCTACCTTGCTTGCAGCATTCACAACGCCTTGCAAAGACTGTTGCTCTGGACTTTTATCCTCTGTTACCCCCACAACATTTCCTGCCAGCCTCCCCTTCTCCAACACATCCGTGCCACCGAGGTGTCATTCTTAGAGCCACTCAAAACACGTTGCCTTATATTCAATGCCGTAGTCTACGTTATCTCTGTAATAAATTACTTACCACCTCTCACACTTGCGGGGCATTCCCTATAAATATGATCATGGCAACCTCAGCAACCTTAAAACCGACATCTTTCGGAACACTCCAAGAATGTGAAGAATATTAAACCGCTGATTCAGACACTGCACATGAGGCTTCTCCGTAGCGTGCCTTGTCCCAGCACAGCCCTGTCTCCCTTCAGAACTTACTATAATCCATGAGGCTCAAGTCACTGTTGCGTGAACACTGGAAGCGAACGTCGGGCTGGCAGGACTGCAGCCTCACAAAGAGGCCGCGCTTCGGAGCGCAGTGGAAGTAGTATTTGCCCAGCCATTCACCCGCAGTGACCCCCTTATCTTCATCCTGGGGAAAAAAGCATTGAGGAATAACATGAGAGCAGGCTTTCCACGAATGAGGTGTGATCCCCGACATGGCCATTTAATATCTTAAGCTGTGTACAAGTTTGGTCCCGTTTTGCTGACTGTTTTCATTTATTCTGGTTATGTTTTGAACCTATTGATGCCGCTTGTAGGATTCATGATTATTCCGTCCCACGATCCAATAACTTTGCTCTAGAAAAGATGAAACCAACCCTCATAATCATTCCCCAGCCTCAGGGAGGGCACAATTGTGTGCTTGCCCTCACAGTTCACACTCTGACACGTAGAGGCGCGGGTCAGGCTGTGAGATACGCAGCCACAAGCTGAAGGTGTTAAAAGAGAACAGTGACCAAGACCTGCCCGTTCTGATATACAATCTCACAGCAGGAAATATTTTGCTCCTTACCAGTTCAACTCCTGCCATTTTGTGCTTAATTTGAGGCAGGTAGCCCAACCAGCGGATGATTCCCGAAACCTGATTTCCCTTGTCCAAGGTGATCTGGACCATGGAGTTCACCTCCAGGGAGGAATTCCCACTTTCACACTCCTCACCGCTCTCGCTTATCTCTCGTTTCATTTGGTTTGGATGTCCCAAGCCCATGTCGGTCTCAAACGGTGAAAATAAACCTAGTGGGCAATACAAAATGTCAGGTGAGGTAGGAATTCAACACGTAATGACAGAGACCTCTGGATCTCATCTAATACCAGGTCTATTTTCAAATTACAGACCATACAGACAAGCCTGAAGTCGAGCACCAGAGACACAAGGTGTAATTCCCAGCAATATGGCCAAGCTGGTCTAACCGGTGGGGAAGGGATGATCCTGCTCCTTGTTTCCCTGCTCAAGGCTGCACACTCCAGCCTCTCGCTGGCCCTGGAGCTCATCCAGCCCTTCACAGAGCCATTTCGGACGGCTGAAATGGCAGCAGGGGGGTTATTTCCAAATTATTTTTCTGCCTTTAGTGAGATGAATCAAGTCGATGAAGAGTCTCATGACGGCTCCCCTCGGGGTGGCCCTGACAGCTGCACTGTGTCTTTTGATGGCAACTGAGAAATTCCACAAATTTCTTCTCTTGTTCAATGACTCACACCATCGCTGCCGGCATCTGTGCCTCTCTGAGTTTGTCTGGCATCAGGACGAGGCTCCTGCTCCACCTTCTACAGTTAAATTAAAGACTCTTTAACGAGTGGTGCCTTCTCCCCTAGGAAATACTTCTGCACTGCAATCAGACTCTTCTCTTCTTCCTGACAAATCACAGAATCGTTTAGGTTGGAAAGGACCTTTAAGACCATCAAGTCCAACCGTGGGTAGACTCAGTTTAAGTTGCTAATGCAAAGAATTCTGTCCAGAACTTGAGACTTTTCCATGGACCTTCCCTGCCTCCTGACCAACCAAGCTGGGACTAGCTAAAGCTTTTGTTGGACTTTCAGCTCATAAATGCTAAATCCCCAGGAACGTACACAGGGCAGACACATCTGACGATAACCTACTTTGCAAGCTTTCCTTCACCACAGAGTCCATAGGGATTTCTCTGAAAATGTCAGTTGTTCCTTCTTCTTCCTGAAAGGAGGGAAAAAAAAAATCTATCAGCTAAATGCTTGGAATATGAACCAATTTTTCAAACAGCCCTGGAAAGTTTGCATGTACGCTTATGTCCCTTTTGGACATTCCTTCCACTTTTCTTTCATGTCCCACCATAACACAGTTTTTTACAAAATCCCCCAAACCCAAGAAAAGGCAGCAAGGCTGCTCTTACCGGACAAACTTTAACGAACCATTGGGTTCCCTCCCTGTAAACTGCCATCGCTATTCCTTTTCTGAGGACTTCATCCACGTAGAAGCTAACTGCATCTCCCACTTTCACAGGAACCACCTCCTCCGTGTCCGCTTTTGGCTTTTGTTTCAGATAGTCATCGTCCAGTGTGGGAGTAAACTGGACTCTGCTAAAGGGCAGGAAGATCCCGCAGTTCCGCTTACACTTGAAATACTCGGTGCCGTGATAAGATCCATCACTGCGCCCTCTGTTCTCTCCCTCACCCTGAAAACGTGCCAGAAAGGCAGGTTACATACACAAACATTAATGGAAAATAAGCAATTTATTTCCTTGACCACTTTACCTGTAACTCCACCCCGAAGAAGAATGGAGACAGCACGACTGAAACGTTTTTGTAAATGCTCCCGATGTAGCGGATGACCCCAGGGAAGTATTGCCGGTCAACCTCCACCATCACTTTTTGGCCTGGCACAGCCCGCAGAGCTGCTTCAAGGCTCAACCTCTCCAAGAAGTAGTTCAAGCGTTCGTTGTGGCTGCTGATGGCCAGGAGGAAGACGGCCATCTCCTCGCGGACAGGCTGAAGGATTTCTACATTTATCGTGACGGTGGAGCTGTCATCAAGCATGATGACTTTCAAGAAGCAAGCCGGGGGCCTGTCTTCGGAGAAGTTGCGCAGGTAACTTCTCTCGCTGCAGAAGCACATGTTCCCAGCTTGGAAGTACTTGCTGCCATAGGCACAGTCTTCTGTCAGGATGTAATAGCAGTTTCCGTCCCCTGCTGAAGGTAGGAGACTGCTCATCGTCATTCCCCTGGCTTGTGAGAAACGAGAGAGTCACATCAGTAAAGATTCGCGCATGTTATCGTAGGATCTCAGAAGAATTCAGGTTGGAAGAGGTCTCGAGCCCAACCGCACGCTCAAAACAGGTTGCTCAAAGCCTCACCCAGTCGAGTTTTAAGCATCTCCAACGACAGAGATCCCACAGCCTCCCTGGTCCCTTGTTCAAGTGTTTGATCGCCCTCACAGTGAAAAAGAAAAAATTCCATCTAACCAAGGTTTCTCATGTTCCTGGTTGTCCCCATCGCCTCCTGTCCTCTCACTGTGCACCCACGGGAAGAGTCCAGCTCTGTTTTCTCTACTAACACCTCTCAGTAAGAAGTTGCCCAGAGCAGCATCTCCTCGTCTGTCCTCTTCTCTACAACACCATACAGCCAGAACAGCCACATCAAATTCCACCTCCTGCCTTCTTTTCATACTTACTTGCAGGAGTGGGACAAAGGCTAAATTCTGCCTTTTAAAAATTCTCTAAAGAGTTCGAATCTGCAACTAGAGCTCTTCGACGTTGTGTTAAAGAACATTAATATTCAAACCATACGCAAAGCACAGCACCTACCGCATTATTATGCCAAGCGACTAAAGATCACCACCTTTCAAAACAAATCTATTAAAAGAAATTAAAATACCTGGAATCAGAAGTACATTTTTACACTTATTTTCTAGCTAAATTCTAACTAAACTCTCATGCGTTTTACCCCTCCCCACCTCACTTTTCACGATACCACGCACAACCAGGACCCAGCCTTTTTGCTACAACATTAAAAAAGGGGTGAATATAGAAACTTCTTCCTGCAGGTGGACAGAACTGGTTGGCCCAACCTGATCAATATAGAGAAAATAAGAGACGTGCCCATTTCTAGGCCCTGAAGGAAATTAAGAAAGAAAAAAACCCGATGTCTCCACTATGGGCTACCTGGTAGAAGTTTCTTAAAATTTGGAAGTGGAGAGAGGAGGAATTGAGCAGACGCAATTAAGGGAAGTAGAAACACGCTCGGGGCATTGGGGCAGGAAGCACGAATGCAGCTGCTCGCAAGAACAATAAACGGGTGAGTTGGGAGGAAAACGTAGGCAGAGCTTGAACAGAAAGGCTGCACAGAGCTCAGCAAGGAGGAGGGTAGCGTTACTGGGGCCTTCACTGGAGATTAGTATCAAGAGAGGTCACTTTTTAAAGTATTAGGAAAAGATAAATCACTGCTTGTGTTACAAAAAAAAATCATCTGATGCTTGAACAGATCCTGGAGCTCTCCTTGTGTTTGGGCTCATCGTGGTAGCTTCCTACAGGAGTCATCTCCCTTTCACTCTTATTTTTTAACCTTGGCGAGTGGGAAGATGGCTCGGAGACCTGATCCAAACGCTGCTGTACTGCTTCTGGGCAATGCTCGTTTGCTGCAGCTGAAGGCCTGGTCTCAGAGAGGACTAATCCCCTCCAGAAAACCACGGGTCTCCTCAAATACCATCCACCTGGGTCTGCCAGCATGGCTAATTTCACATGGACAGCAGACATACGTTATCCACGTAGCCAGAGATTCCACAACC